AACCCGGCGCAGAAAGCCTCTGTGGAGTCCTGTATTCGAAGTTTGGCTGAAGTGGGTAAGTCCTGGGGGTAGGTTTTACTTATTTTCACATTTTCTTGAAGAAACTGGATTTTGGGCTAATAGGCAATTCAAATACCTTTCTCATTTACAACTTCACGAGAGAGAGAGTTTTGGTCTCGGTAAAGCAGAAGAGTTGAGGTCAGCAAATAATTCTGAGCATTGTGTACTCAATGGGTGGATACCACAATTGTTATATTTCTAGACGTAAGTTTAGTATGATTGCACATAGTACTTTTTCTCGTTAAGATTTTTATAGGGGTGATTTTTAGTTTAATTTTTGCCCCAGGTTACATTTTGGAATTGTTTTTGCCTATTAAGCAGTCTGACGTAGAATTAGCATCACATGACAGTAAGACTTTATGAGGATTTTATTTGAAATTCATCACTATTCAGAAATTGCAAATAAATGCAAGGCAAGGTGATTACAGATGATTAGTGAATTCTGGGAAATATTTCTTATACATTTTTGGTTTAGTCCTGTTTTTATTTCTCTAAGGAGAAATTAGGACAATCCTATTGTTTGAAGATGGGTGGACTGAGAAAAAAGTCAGAGTTGACTGGACTTAATGGAAATTAAATAAAAGAAAAAGAAAGGAAAAAAAGGGAGTTGTGATCATTTTCTTAATTTTTTTGCTGCAGGATGGGGAGGGGTGGCTTATAGTATGCTTCATTATCAGTGTTGTCATTATTGGTAACATTTATTGAGCACTGACCATGTTCAATAAAAAGAGCCCTGATGGTGCCGTTCGCAAGGACTGCGTACCACAAGGTTAGTGGTTCAAGCCTATCAGCAACATCGCAGGAGAACGAGGGTAGTGTCTGCTCTGATGAAGGTACACAGTCTCTGAAAGTTTTATCAGTGGTTCTCAACCTTCCTAATGTGGTGACCTTTTAATACAGTTCCTCATGTTGTGGTGAACCCCAACCATAACATTATTTAAGTTGCTACTTCATAACATTCATTTTGCTGCTGTTATGAATTGGGCGACCCCTGTGAAAGGGTCATTTGCCCCCTAAAGGGGTCGCGACCCACAGGTTGAGAACCTCTGCCCTATATGGTATTGCCATGAGTCCAGATCAGCTCGATGCCAGTGGGCTTGGCAGTGGGTTCTGCCCACCCTATAGTACTAAGCAGTTTATATGTATAATCTCATTGAATAGTTAGGTGAGTAAATTTTACATTTTATAAGGGAGGAAACAGAAAAATATCTTGCTTTACTGCCAGTGAGTCTGTTCTGCCTATAGTGACTCTATAGGACAGGTAGAACCGTCCCTCTGGTTTTCCAAGACTGTAACTCTTCGCGGGCATAGGAAGCCTCAGATTTCCCCCATGGGGTGCCTGGTGGTTTCAAGTGGCCAGCCTTACAGATGGCAGCTCAGTGCATAACCCACGACTCCACCAGGGCTCCCTGAATTATCTAGGCCTGGTAAATCGACCAGTACATTTTTGATAAAAGAATAAGTGATTTAACTAATTCATGATTTAAACATTTTAAGTAGAATTTTACACCTGTCTACAGTTTGACTGTCTAAGTGACTAAGTGACTTCATATTAACAAAATTTAATGAAGGCCCCAATTTTAATTTGAATACATAGTTACAACCCAAGATCAATGGAAACAGTATCAGAATTAACAGAAAAATAGAGTTCATATGGCTAATTACAAATAAATATTAAACTCAGTAGATTTAATATATACCAAGAAAGAGAGAACATATCTGGAAAAGATACCACTTCCACTAACAACATAAATATTAAACACCTTGGAATAAACTTAATCATAAATATGAACTTATAAAATTGCAGTGCTATAAAATATTTCATTAAGCTGAGAGATAAATTATACCTGGACTGGAAACCCAACTTGTAAAGTTGATGATTCTCCTAAAGAAACTAGTAGCAAAAAAAGAGAAACTAGTAGGTGGGATGGCCCCACTTGGTTAAACTTCCTGGGCACACATGCTCCCTCACCTCATGCCCCAGTTAGGCTTTGACACCTGGTGCCAGCCCACACCCAGAAGGATTTCAGCTTCGCCAGTTTGATCTCTGACAGCCTCCCCTGGAGATGGCTTCCTCACCTGGCTTAGTCTCCCGCATTCCACATGAAGCTGCTGTCCTGTGATTCCCGCTCAGCCTGCTCAGGCTCTGATTCCCTCTGCCAAGCTTGTCCTCCCCTGGCGACGCCTACTCCCCTCTGCTTAGCCTCTGGTCTCCACGCTGGCCCTTCGTGTGTTCCTTTTTGCTCTATCCTACTAATCTTTAACACCCTGTGACAGGCCTTCCTGGTGTGAGGCTCTGGTTATTTCCCTCAAGCTCTGATTCCCAGGGCAGGCAGCCCTCCTCTGGAGATGCCGTCCACTGGCCTGTGGACACCCCCACTCAGTCCCACTCTTTCCTCAGGACCGACCTGACTTCGCTCCACCCTACTTAAGGTTTACAACTGAATGATTTAAGAAAGAAAAGAAAGAAAGAGTTAACAGGAAGAGGGAGAGGCCACAACAGTTGCCGAAAAATAGGATATCTTCCTGTTCCTGTGTGCCCCCTTTCCAAATCCAACATCAAAGGATTATTTCAGGAATCTCTTTCCTGGACTCCCCACTTCCACTCTTCTCCTACTGAGTCCGTTCCTTGCACAACAGTCAGCGTGATCCTAAAATACAAATGGGATCACATCATTCTCCTTTTGAGAATTTCTGTTGCACTTAAAATGAAATTTGCATTCCTTCCGTGGCTTATAAAGTCCTTTGCCTTCTGAGCGTCAACCGATTCTCCTACCATCCCTTGCTAGCCTCTGCACCCCTCAGCTCTATCCCAACTCTTTCATCCACATTGACTTTCTCTCTGTGCTTGACATCTGTTTGCTGTTCAAAGACTCAGACTAAGTGTCCTGCAGTCAGTTCTGGCTCAGAGTGACCCTATTGGGCAGGGTACAATCGCCATCTTGGGTTTCTGAGACTATAACTCTTCAGGGAAATTGAAAGCCTCATCATTCTCCTGCCAAACAGCTGATGATTACAAACCGCTGAACTTTGTGGTTATCAGTTCAGTATATAACTCACTACACCACCATGGCGCCTTTTTGCTGCTCTTAGTTGCTAGCAAGTCAGCTGAGACGTGTGGCGATTTTATGTACTGCAGACTAGAACTTTGTCTGATCCTGCGTCATCCGCAGATTGCAGTGTTTCCGAGTCCATAATTGTGTCTGTCTGGTGCCAAACCATCCCATTTGAGCATCTTCATTGTTGGCCCTCTACTCTGCCAACCATACTGTCCTTTGCCAGCGATGGATCCTTCCTAATGACAGGTTGGAGCTTGTCAAACAATATTTGGTTGTAAGCCGTAGGGTTTTTAGTGAGTAAGTTTTACAAGTTGATGGTTCGCTAGGCTTTCCTCCCAGTCTGTTTTCCTGTGCAAGTTCTGCATGACTTGGCATCCTGGTGGTATTTGAAATGGTGGGTGGCATGGTGGCCAGCTTCACAGCAACACACACATCGTCACGGTGAGACAGATTGTCAGAGGGGTGGTAGATTTCTCATTCACGTGACTCTTTCCCTTATTTCAGGGCATTTGCATGTGCAGATTTTCACTGGCAGGCTCTCTCTTGTCAGATCTCAGCTCCAAAGTTAAGTGTGTAATGAATGTTCCAGAGCACCGGTGTGCCCTGTTCCGGCTCCTTCTCACCTCCCACCATATTGTACTCCTTTATCGTCCTCTCAGCCTTGATGGTACTTCAAAGCAGTGTAGTAAATGGCTTGGGAGGCAGATGGCCACATCGGACCTTCTCTGGCTCCCCTATTGTCAGGAGGCAAGGGTCCAGGCATGCCTTCACGCTCCATCCTGGCTTACCCTAGTCTGACACCAACCATTCCTCCTTGGCACTCTACTTCTGTGCTGCGTTTGATAATTCATTGTAATGGTCGCAGAGAATTCACAGGCAATACTCCTGATTGGGGGCGGGGGTGGGGGGTGGGGGGGGTTGTTAAGCTGGGGTGACTAGAGAAACAAATTCATTGACACCTGTATACATGTAAGAAAGAGCTCTATCTCAAGAAGTAATTATATATCAAGAAAACACCCCTGGGCTGTCCAACTCAAGTCCATAAGTCCCATAGGAGTCCACAAATCCTTCTTTAGACTCATGAAGCTATATGCAGTGATGCAGGAAGATCACAGCCTGATGGGCGTAAAGTCGTGTGAATCGGAGGTCGATGGAAAACATGGCAGGGCTCAAGAGCGCTCCAGATCAGCTGGCATGAAGATAAAGACAGAGAGAGAGAGAGAGAGAGAGAAAGAGAGAGAGAGAGAATAGCCTCCAGAGAGCTACATACTTGGCTGCACCTCCAAGTGAGGCCATCAGGATTCGACCTGATTGATAGGCTAAACTCCATCTATATCTTCTTCTTTTTTTAAAAAAAATCATTTTATTGAAGGCTCTTACAGCTCTAATCACAGTCCATCCATTGTGTCAAGCACATTTGTACATGTGTTGCCATCATAATTTTCAAAACATTTTCTTTCTACTTGAGACCTTGGTATCAGGCCCTTATTTGTTCCCTCCCTCATGAACCCTTGATAAATTGTAAATTATTATTACTTTTCATGTCTAACCAATGTCTCCCTTCACCCACTTCTCTGTAGCCCATCCCCCTGGGAGGGGGTTATATGTAGATCAAGGTGATCGGTTTCCCCTTTTCCCCCTCACTATCCCCTTACTCTCCTGGCATCGCTACTCCTCGTTATTGGTCCTGAGGGGTTTATCTGTTCTGGATTCCCTGTGTTTACAGCTCTTATCTGCACCAGTATACATACTCTGGTCTAGCTGGATTTGTGAGGTAGAATTGGGGTCATGCTAGTGGGGAGGGGCATTAAAGAACTAGAGGAACGTTGTCTGTTTCATCGGTGCTATACTGCACCCTGACTGGCTCATCTCTTTCTTGTGACCCTTCTATGCAAGCCATCCATGTCTTACAGGTGCCACATGGGCACAAAGAAAC